TTTGGCTCAAGTCATGATCCCAGGGTCCTGGGATGGAGTTCCTCATTGGGCTCCTTGCTCAGCAGGGAACCTCCTTCTCCCTCTGCCTGCCTCTCCCCCTGCTTGTGCTGTGTCTCTTTCTCTCTCTCTCTGACAAATAAACAAATAAAATCTTAAAAAAAAAAAAAAAAATCTAAAAAAAAAAAAAGAAGCCTAGTTGACACTCAATGTTACGTTACTTTCAAATGTACAGCATAATAATTCAACAGGTTTATATGTTGGGTTATGCTCTTCTTTCTCATTCTTGGTTTCAGTTTTCTCTTGGGCCTTTTTCTTTTCCATCTTTAAAATTTATATCTTTTTTTTATTATTATGTTATGTTAATCACCATACATTACATCATGAGTTCTTGATTTTCCTGTTTTGCTTAGAGACTTTTAAATGTCTGGTGATCCATAAGTGCTAGTGATAGTTAAGACTGAGACAATAGAATACAATTTTTTTAGCTCTGTGTTTGTTTTTTTTTTTTTTAATTTAAATTCAATTAGTCAGTTAGCTCTGTGTTTATGGGGTAGGGGATGTGGGGGTCTGTTATTCTGTTCATTCCCTTTCTCACTCTTTCCTCCTTCATATTTCGAGTTTTCCTAGTTCGGCATTGTTATGGCTTTTTCCTGGGCAGATCAGCTTTACTCCTCATCAGAAACTGGATCCTCCGAGCTTACTTTTGGCTCCTACTGCTTTTATTCTGTTTCATCAATTAACATACTCCATTTGTTTTCCATCTTCTAGAAATTTCTTAAATTTGTTTGTTAATCGATGGCCCTCTCTTCCATTCTCTTTTTCATTGTTGTTTTAATGCTTAACTATTATTTTACAGGGATCTGCCTGCAAGGAAAGGAGATAAATAGATACTGCTAGTCAACCAATTTGAATTATTAGAAGCACAGGTAGTTGGAATTTTGATGATGGAAAAGGTATGGGGGCAGGTGGAAGAAAAAGAGAAAGATGGAATAAATCCCAGGATGAGCAAATAGTATAAGCAAAGATTTTGAAATAGTAGATATGAGCAAGTTCTCTTTCACTTGATCCAGTGAATTCCTCTTTATAGTACTATAATGGGCAATTAGCAAAACTTGCTGAATGAATAAATGAAGAACTTAGGTTTTCACCAGTTGGGTGATTTACTTTTCTTTCAGGATCATCTCAAAAATGACTACAGAAGAAGATTTTGCCGACCTGTCAGGTGAGTTATATATTTAAGCTTTTAAGGTCATTTTTATGTCTATCTTCAGAAAGTGATTCTTAAATGAAGAAGGGAAAAATTACTTCTAACATAATGATTTCTGTGCCCACTGATTAGGTAAGTCTACTTAGTAATTTTATATTTACAGAAATATTAATGCAAGCAGAGTAGTGACTTAGCAGCAGTGAGAGAAGAAATTCAGCTGATAAATTATGGATCAGGAAGAGGCAGTCTTAGTTCTGACTAAATGACAGCCATGGGGAAAGCACTCTATAGAGTGGATTGAATGGTAATATTACAAAGATGCAGCTTATTTGGTGGGGCTAAAAGAAAATGTGGGTGTAGGTTATAAAAAGACAATAGAGGATCTTTGTAGTGTGGACTGTTCAGTATCTTGACTGTGGTGATGATATCTGAACCTACAGATGTGATAAATTGCACAGAACTAAGTATGAACATAAACGCACAAATGAGTACAGTTGACCCTTGAACAACTCAGGGGTTAGGGTTGCTGACCCCCATACATTTGAAAATCTTTACATAATTTTGACACCCCAAAATCTTCTACTAACAGCCTACTGTTGCCTGGAAACCTTACCAATAACATAAATAGCACATACTTTGTACACTGTATATTATATATTCTACAAGAAAATAAGCTAGAGAATAGAAAATGTTATTAAGAAAATCATAAGGAAGAGGAAACACGTTTACAGAACTGTACTGTATTGATAACAGTAAGTTTTTGTTTTCTGTTTACAAGAGGAATCCTCTGTTATTACCTACTAATATAGTCTTATATGATACAGAACACTGTAGATGTTATATATATTACTAGCACTAGACATCAGACATGAAAAAATGTGAAAAGAAATTCATATTTATTTACAGGTATAACAGGTATTGATAAAGAAGCAGCAGTATGATTGCTTTATGGTAGCCTGGTGTGGTCAGTATGATTGTTTCATGGTAGCCTAGTCTATACATTAATGAATAGAATTGTTATAAAATTTTTACGGCATATGGTATTATAGTCATATCCATAATATAGTCTGGAAACATTGTTATACTTTTATAAAACCACTTACCTGTGAGGAAAGACATATGTATGGAAATATAATTCTTTGAAAGGGAAGTTACAAGGCAGTAAGATAACACATTATTAATTTTATATTAAATATCACTCACCTTATGCCTATGTAAGGATAGGCTATCCACTTCCATACAAGTTTTGCACAAGGTGATTTAGACAATGAATACTTAGATGATAATAATGACGACGATGACATAAAAATGTCTCATATATTTCTTGCATACAGTTACTAGATTTTCACATGAAGACACACAGATACATGCAGTTTATTAATGGTATGGCATGCTGATTATTTACTGTTCATTAAGTGGGAGTGGATCATTGAGGATCTTCATCCTCATCGTCTTCACATTGAGTAGGCTGAAGAGGAGGAGAAAGTTGAGGTGATCTTGTTTCAGGTGTGGCAGAGACAGAAGAGGTGGAGGAGGTAAAAGGGGAGGCAGGAGAGGCAGGCATACTTGGTGTAACTTTATGCAATTATATCATAATTTTTGTCTGACTTTTACTTTTTCATTTCTCTAAACTTGGTTTTATATTCTGCTGTTTACCTTAGTTTCATTGTATGCCTATATCATAGAAGGTCCATGTCATAAAAGAAGTCAAAAACAGTCTTGAGTAATTGGAAGCCTCTATCAGATTGTCTAATGTCAATTTGTTTTCTGGTGATGCTTCTACATCTTCTTCCACGTCATCTGGTATTGTTTTAGAAGCATTCATCACCATACAGTCATCTTCTGTTAATTTCTCTGGTGTGATGTCTGTTAGCTTTTCAATTTCTCCAAGACCCTAATTTTGAAACCCTTCACCCCCCACCTTTTTTGCCATATCCACAATCTCTTTCATGATTTTTCTTGATAGGCTCTATCATAAATCCTGTGAAGTCATGTATAACATCTGTACACAGTTTTCTCCAGCAGGAATTTATTGTTTTGGGCTTGATGGTTTTCATAGCTTTTTCTATAACAATAATGGTATCTTTTTTTTTTTTTTAAAGATTTTTATTTATTTGAGAGAGAGAGTGAGAGAGAGAAAGAGCACAAGCGGGGGGAGCGGGAGAGGGAGAAGCAGACTCCCTGCTGAGCAGGGAGCCCGATGCGGGACTCGATCCCGGGACTCCAGGATCATGACCTGAGCCGAAGGCAGTCGCTTAACCAACTGAGCCACCCAGGCGCCCACAATAATGGTATCTTCAATGCTGTAATCCTTCCAGACTTTCATGATGTTGTTTCTGTTCCATATTCCATAGCATTGGCAGTCCTTTCCCTAGAGAACCGTGTGTAACAAGTCTTAAAGGTCCTTATGACCCCCTAATCTAGAGGCTGAATTTGAGAAGTTGTGTTGGGGGCAAATATACCATTTTGACTCCTTCAGTGTTGAACTCCTAGGGTTTTGGGTGGCCAGTGGCATTGTTCAATATCAGAAGAACTTTAAAAGACAGACCCTTACTGGCAGGGTACTTCCTGACTTCAGGGACAAAGCATTGATAGAACCAGTCCAGAAGAAGGGTTCTCATTGCCCAGCTTTCTTGATATAGTACAACCCAAAATCTGGCAGCTGGTGTTTATCTTTTTCCTTGAAAGCTGGGGTTTAGCAGCTTTGTAGATAAGTCAGTCCTGATTATAAAGCTGACTGCATTTGCACAAAATAGTAGAGGTAGCTGATCCTTTGCTTGCTTCTCTTCTTTAGTAATAAATGTCCTTTATGACATTTAGAGAGAGAGAAAGCACGCATGTGTCTAAGCAAGGGGAGGGGCAGAGGGAGTGGGAGACAAGCAGACTCCTTGCTGTGAGGGAAGCCCGACGAGGGCTTGATCCCAGGATCCTCAACGAGGGCTTGATCCCAGGATCCTGAGATCATGACCTGAGCCAAAACCAAGAGTCGGACTCTAAACTGACTGAGCTACCCAGGTGCCCTCTTTTTTTTTTTTTGAGAAAGAGAAATAGTATGCGAGCAGGCATGCAAGCAGGAAGGAAGGAAGGGCAGAGGGAGAGGAGAGAGAGACGCTTAAGCAGGCTCCATACTCAGTGTGGAGCCCGATGTGGGGCTTAATCTCATGATCCTGAGATCATAACCTGAGCTGAAATCAAAAGTTGGATGCCCAACCAACTGACCCACCCAGGTGCCCCCTTAGTGATGATGATGATGGGGATGATGATGATTTTTTTTTTTTTTTTTGAGAGAGAGAGTGCACAAATGGTGGGGGCAGTGGATGGGCAGAGGGAGAGGGAGATAATCTTAGGCAGACTCTGCACTGAGTGGGGAGCTCAGTCTCATGACCATGAGATCATGACCTGAGCCACAGCATATTGGAACTCGTCTGCTGCCTCTTGTTTGACAGGAGGTTCTTCTCAAGTTATCTTGACTTTTTTTTTAAGCCAACTCTCTTTCTAAATGCCATCCTCTTCTGGCATTAAATTCTCCAGCCTTAGATCCTTCACCTTCCTTTTGCTTTAAGATGTCTTATAATAACTTTGCTTTTTCTCAAGCCATATTATAACCTATATTTATGCCTTTCTTTGAACAAGTCCTGCAATCCACATAGAAGCTGCATTTTCAGTACAAGATAAAAAGGTATTTTGCAAAATGACAAGGTTTTGTACCTGCTGGCGCAGCTGCAAAGACAGCTTCACAAATTTCCTTTTCTTTTTTTGCAATAGTCCTTATGCTGCATTTATTTATCTTGAAATGGCAGGCAACCACAGCTGCAGACTTCAGTCTATGGTATATATCAAGTAATTCAACTTTTTCTTGTAATGTCATGACATCTCTGTTCCTTGGGAGCATTTCCAGCATCACTAGTGGTACCTTGTTGGGTCCCTTGGTGTTATTCAGGGTTTATGGTATTGCACTAAACATAATGAAAAATGGGAGAACTGTGAGAGATCACTTTTTTACTGCAGTCCACAATTTACTGGAGAAGTAATTGCTTCTGCTCACTCAGAGATGATTAACGTTAGATGGCATTTTAAGGGGATACTCACTAACACTTGGGCTCACCACAATAGCAACAGGAGTGGCTATAAAATTATTACAGTAGTACA